AAGGCTACCGCTATCAGCTTTACCACAACTTACTGGAAATGCAGATATTCCAAGAACTGAAGGAAACAGCTGGAGATGCTCAGGATGCATCATGGAAGTCATGATTTGCAGGGAAATGCCCAAGGCCACAGCAAGATCTTCTGACTGCTGAAGCCCATGCTTTTCTGCCCACCGCTGCCAGAGGAGCAGTAATATGGCTTGTTTTCTCTCACCTCCTTGGTTTCACGTGAGTGACTCTCAGTGGCAGTAAAGAACTGTGTTGAAAGGAGATTCTATAAATGTAGTTCCCAGGTTCTGACCCACTGCAGTGTAAGGAAGAGCATAGATGTGGGGAATGGTACTGAGTGGCTGATAAATAGTCCAGGATGACAATCTGTAAGACCATGTGTGGTCCAGTCCACTGCCCGTCTCCAACTTCAGCTCTCCCATTGTTCTCCACTCTTCACACTTATTCCACCCTACTAGACCCCAAGTTCCAGACTTACTAGAGTGTATTTTTTTAAGAGGCCTAAAACTATGAACATTTATTATCTCATAGCTTCTGTGAGTTAGAGATGCAGGAGCAACTAATCTGGGTGGTTCTGGCTCAGGGTCTCTCATTAGGCCACAGTCAAGACATCAACTGGGACTGGTGTCATCTGAAGGCTGGATGGGGGCTGAAGGATCCACTTCTAAGACGGTGCATTCACGTGGCTGTTGGTAGGAGGCCTCAGTTCCTTCTTATGTAGGCCTCTCCACAAGGCTGTCTGAGTGGCTTCAGGACATGGCAGCTGGCTTCCCCCAGAACAAGTGATTCAAGAGACAGCCCAAGGAGAAACATACTAGAGTGCTTTAACTCCTCTCTTCTGGGAGCACATTATCTGGTGTCTCGGGTCCGGTTGCCTAGAAGCAGAACCTGAGCTGAGGATTCTTGGAAAGTGACACATCAGATGTATAATATAATTATCTGTATAATTGAATAACTGAATGATCCCTTCTTCTGGTGGAGAATCCAAATGCTTAGCCTCCCTGGGCCTATGTCCCTTTCTGGGGAGCTAACTGAGCAGAGCCCATGTTGTCCCATCAAAACCCCACAGCAGTTCTCAGCATCCTGAGTGGCAGCACCTTCCAAGTCCATGTGACCTGTCCAGGTTTTTCATTGCAAAATTAGAATGAAAATATGTTTCTCATTTCTGGATAGGAGAGTATTAAAATGACAGTTATATTTTTAAAAGGGACCTTAGCTCAAGTTTCAATGAGCTCTTGGCTAAAAGTGCCTTTTCCTGGCTTGTCACGTCCTGGCTAGGTATGTGTTGTTACACATGGAGCCATGAGGGAAGGACTGATGTTCCAATATAATTGTAATCCACATATTTATTTCTTTCATAAAGTTCAGGCATTGGATTTCGCTTCAGACAACAAGAACTTTTGGACAAGGACGTATTGTCCATATTGATAGCAGAGTTGTTCCCCCATTTCTCTAATACACAGAGAAGAAAGGGAGCCACTGAGGTCCCCCTGTTTTCATGGGTTTTCATTCTCCCAGAATTGTTAACTTAGAAAAGTCTGAAGAAACAGCAATGAAATCTCCCACTTTGACCTGCTTGCCAGCTGCTAAGTCTTATGTGAGCTTCACACTGTTTTCATGAAGGGAAGTGGAATAGTTTATTGGGAAGAGGGGCTTTTGCGTGTCTAAGTCTCATCTTCAGGTTTTTTTAATTTCTTTTTTTTTTTTTAAGCACAAAGCTAGTTTTCTTTTTCCATCTCTTTTCCTGGGATACGTTCTGGCTGGGGTGAGGCTCTGCCTTTCCAGGTCCTTCCTGATTCTTGTGTTCTAGGCCCCTCCTGAGATTTGCTCTTTTGAATGTTAATAGGTGGAACCATTTAGAATGGATCCTGGAGCAGTAGAAAGTGTTGGGGAGGTCTTGAGTTTCCTCTTAAGGAGACTGATGGTTAGATCAGCCTGACTTAACACTGCAGAGTTGTTTGTTATTAATCATAGAGCTAGGAAACCCAGGCCCTTGAGTACAATTTCAGGAAGGTAAATTTTATTTTTTTAAATAAATTTATTTATTTATTTTTGGCTGCGTTGGGTGTCCGTTGCTGCACGCAGGCTTTTCTCTAGTTGCGGTGAGCGGGGGCTACTCTTCGTTGAGGTGCGCAGCCTTCTCATTGCAGTGGCTTCTCATGTTGCAGAGCACGGGCTCTAGGCACGTGGGCTTCAGTAGTTGTGGCATGCAGGCTTCAGTAGTTGTGGCTCGCGGGCTCTAGAGCACAGGCTCAGTAGTTGTGGTGCACGGGCTTAGTTGCTCTGTGGCATGTGGGATCTTCCCGGACCAGGGCTCGAACCCGTGTCTCCTGCATTGGCAGGTGGATTCTTAACCACTGCGCCACCAGGGAAGCCCAGGAAGGTAAATTTTAAAATGGAAAACAGTTTTCAGGCCTCACAACTGCTCCTCATCCTTCCCAAGCCCCACCCCATTGTTGTTGGTGATTTAGAGATGTTTACAAGAAAAGGAAGTCAGTGATACAGACACTCTATTGCTTTTGCTGTGCTCAGAATCCTCATTTTTGTTGAAAAGAGGATGAAATTTATCATTTCCCTCAATATTTCCACAAGAAGGAGACTTCACTCATCTCCCCAGGAAAGGGAACGTTAGGATGGACACCTCTCTCCACCTGCCTGATGATATGGAGGGGAACTGACCAACTGAAAGGTGGGGTGACTGGTCCATCACTTCTCTCCTCTCTGCCTGGCCTCTGGGCCATGTGGGCGCAAACCTGTGGTCCCTGTGGAGAGCGGGCGGGCCGTAGCAGGGCAGGCCGTGGATTGGCAGTGGAGGGCGAGTGCGGGCCTCAGGTCCAGGTCCTGTTCTTCAGCACAGGTCACGGGCAGCCCTGCACTAGGTGCCTGTCAGGTCCTTGCTCAGCCATTCAGAAAGCTGACATTGGACTAACGCATCTTGGAGTGTGATGCCATCTGTCCGAACCCCCGAGAAGGTGGGGGAGCCTGACCGTGAATGGCTCTTGACCGACTTCACTTGGATGCTTCCGGGTACTTCAAACTCAGTGTGTCCCAAAGCGGGCTCCCCTTCCCACCTGCTTCTCCCTCGGTTTCTGTTGCGGAGATTGGCCTCCGTGCTCTCGTGGTACCCCAGCCTGCCCTCCCAGGTGTCAGAGCCTGGGAGGCCCCTCAATCCTCCTTTCTCGCCACTCCTGTGCAGGGCCCCTCTGCACCCAGCTCGCAGCTGGGATGTTACCTTTGCCTGAGTCTTGGTGACCCACAAGGCCGGCTGCTGTTGTATCCCCTGCATGCCCTCGCTGTAGTCCTTATTCCCCTGAAGCCTGTTTGCCTGCTCATTCTCTGCCTTTCCCGCTAGACTGCAAGGTCCAGGGCTTGTTCATCCTTGAACACCGGTGCTACTACAGGGGCTGCCTGTCGTGGCTGTTGGATAGGTATTTCTTGAGTGAATAACACTGAGGCCCAAGAGTGCTGGAGGCGGTATAGCATAGTGGTCACAGCCCGGCTTTGGAACCTGAGGCCTGGGTTTGGACTCTGCTATCTGTGTGATATTGGGTGAGTCCCTTACCTTCTGGGTCCTTAGTTTCTTCCCGACTTCCTAAGACTGTGATGATGAAATGCAGTAATCCATGCAAAACACCTAGAGCAACATGTGACACATAGCAAGTGTTCGGTGGTTCATAGTACACATCTATTAATAACAACAACAACAACAATAATACACTTACCCTTAATGGAAAGGAGAAGGCTATAAGAAAAACTTGGAACTAGAAATCACGCATGTTGAGTGCCTGCAGCGTGGGTTTCAAAGAGGCGGGGAGTTGCTTGGGCACCAAGGATTCCAGCGCGGGCAGTGGAAGTGTAGGAGCAGACGGGCTTACTGTGGGGAAGAGTGGACAGGGAGGGAAACATGGAGCAGGAGAGCCGAAAACAGGACCTTGAGAAATGGCACACGTGAGGGACAAGAGGGGCCAGAACAGGAAGAGAGAATGATTCCAAGTAGGAGACTGCGACTCATCAGATGCCAGGGACAGGAGCTTTACAAACACAGCTGAGGATGCCGAGCTGGGCTGCTGGTCTCTGAAGACTAGAGGCAGCTGGAACGTGCTGGGTGGGGCGGTGGTTGGGGAGGAGTAGGGTCAGAATAAGGAAGAAGCCAGGCCCCGCAAGGGTTTGAAGAGGGCTGCTTAGCAACGAGGTAGGTGCCCTCAGACCCATAGGTTGTATGCTGCAGTGTGTGTTTCTGTGATGCAGATTAGCTTGTGGGTCAGTAGAGGACTGATAATGTGGAGGTCACGTTGGTTCACATGTTAACATTTTGCATCACTGGCTAATAGTGGCTGAAAGCCAAGGACTCCAGCAGCACTGAATGTAGCAAGCCTGGGAGATAGGAAGCTGAGCAGGGCACCCGCGCTCCCTGGGCTCTGCACCGGGCTGTGTGGCCCCACTGTCTTGCAGGCCTTTGGGGCCATTCCTCCCCCGTCTTTGTGCTTTCATTCACGGACTCCATACCACTCAGCAGCCAGAATCCCTCTGTTTACCCCTTCCATCATGCTTACCCCTCACCTATTTTCAAGGTAAAGAGTCATATCTACTAGAATGTTTATCAGAAATTTAATATTTAAAAAACTTTCAGTGCTTTTCATTATAATTATTGTTTTTGTTAGTGATTGGGTTGAAATTTTAACTTCTTTCCCCACCCTATTTTTCTGATATGCTTTGTTATTTTTAGTTTGTGCTTTCGAAGCATTAGTTTTTAGCAATATATACATCCAATTATAGAAGACATTCCTGTGACTTTTTTTTTCTAAGATTGAACAATGCTGGGAGGAGGGATGGGAGGGAACAGCAGGGTCTACAGAAGCTTTTCTCGAGGATCAGCAGACCCGACCATCCTTGGCTCTTTCTCCTTAGTAACTCTTTTCCTAAGCTCTCTTCATTACATGTTTAGGTGGTTATGTTTTTGCATTTTTTTCCTTTCTGTGATCTTTTGCTACAGTCTGAACAAGCGTCTGAGGCCGAGTTACACCCCCAGCTGAACAGAGCCCCCTCCCAAGCTGCGGAAAGTAGTCCAGCAAAGAAGGTAAGGCCAGCGTGAGGGTGTTACTGTGATGGTCTTGTGACCCCACCCTCCCCTGGGCTGCTTGCCACTGTTAGAAGACATACCGTTTTAAAGTTTTCATGCCCTGACATGAATGTTTATGATCCAGATTTCCTAGAATCTGGGTTCTTTGTGAAGGTTAGGGTCCTGATGATTCCTGGGCTCCACCTTGATGTTTCTGACAGTTTGTACTTCCCTCTTCAACCTCCCAACTAAATATGGTGGCCTTGCTTTTGGCAAGACCAAGAGGTGCAGTGGGGAGTCCTGCATCCTGCTAAGCCTCGAGGAGCAGGCTGGGGGCTGGGGTGGTCTTCCCTTCCTAGTCTTTTTGCTATGGTCTCCCTTTGCCCACCCATGTCACCAAGTCCTGGGCCATTTGCTTGCTCACTCACTGTGCTCTCCCATTCGTCTTCTCCCCCTCCTTTCTCCTTGCCCATTTCCTCAGGCCCTCCTCCCATCACAGAGCACATGGGCCTGTGCTCAGGAGCACAGGTGAGGCAGGGCCTCCAAGGAAGCAGGCCAACTGTCTCCTTCCAGAAGACACAGTGGCTCGTCAGCTTGGCTTGATGTAGGAGCTGGGGGTCGGAGAATGATGAGCATATGACAAAGACCTCTACAAACTTTAAAACTTAGAACAGATTCAGAACATATTCCCAAAAGCCCCAAAGTGAGGCAAGGGTGAATTTTGTCTTCAGTAAGGAAAGGCCCTGTGGTGTGAGATGCACACAGCATTTAAAAAAGAAAAGAGGGGCGGGAGAGAGGGCATCTGAGTCCTGTGTCCTTCCAGGTGACAAAAGAGGTAATAGGCTGCAAGCATGAAAAAAAAGAAAAGAAAAAGAAAGAAGGAAAGGCCCCTGGAATCTCATGCCCGGGTCTCTCCAGGTCTTGCCAAGCCACGAATCAGCCACTTGTCCTGAGGTGTGGAGTTTGAATAGAGCACACGACTGACCTTGGGGATAGGCCGAGAGTAACATGGGGCATTGACGTGACAGGTGGCGTTTAATTGTTTAACTTTTGGGTTTTTTTTTTTTTAATCCACAGGATATACCGTATTCTCAGCCCCCATCAAAGCCCATCCGTAGAAAATTCCGACCTGAAAATCAAGCTACAGAAAGTCAAGAGCCTACTACGGCTGTAGGCGGGCCAGCTTCTGTAGCAACAGTGAAACCCCATCCAACAGTGCAAAAGTAAGTAGAACAGATAAATGTGCGAAAGGTCGGAAACTTTATTTTAAATCTGCATATACATATGTAAATGTAAACTTACATTTACACTCATCACCATGGACAGGTGTGATTTTAATGGTTATAGTCTTACCTTACTCATTTCTATGATGGGATTACAGTCTCCCAGTCACATAGAAAGAGGCTTTCTAAGTGATAGGGCTTAACTTAACCCTAGGGACCAGCAAGTCCCAGGCTGGGGTGTGCTTTGGGTTGGTTTGATTTCCTTCCCCTCCTCCCCTCCTCTTCCTTTCCTTCCTACCGCTCTTCTTGTTTTCCTGGGAAGAAGACAGTAATATAAATGGCAGTTTTCCTCTTTGCCTGTCTTATCTCATGTTCCCCGGTGCACGTGGCCAGCTTCAAGACCCTCAGACCCAACTTTGAGTAGATGTGGTGTATGATTCCTTTTCATCCCCATGAAGAGGTTCTGTTGTTGAGCATCTCAGCACAGAATGGTCACATGCAGAGCTGCTAAGATATCTGTATGTATGATCAGCTGGATGGAGGGTGGGGACACCTGTGGACATGGCCCGGGACCGAGAAGACCATCCTTCTCCAGGCTTTGGCTTTAAGAAGAGCCATCACTTGCCTCAGTGAAATTGAGCCAGGCGTCCAGGGCAGAAAACTGCTGCTGCGTGTTACTTCAAGTGAGCCTGACTAGTCACTAACACAAATGCTCAGGATACGTCATGGCACCGCTCCAGGGGCCCTGTGGGTCTCGGGGGCTGCTTCGGAGTTACTCCTGCTTACACTGTTATGGGAAGAAAAGCAACAGGTTCTGTGGGTGCAGCTTGCCTTTGAAGCCAGTCCCCATTCTGAATCTGTGCAGCACTCTTCTTCAGGTAATGACTTTTGTTTTTTCCAAATAGACAGTTCCCTGATAGTATTAGTGCATAAAGGAAGTATATTTTGTCCTTAATAGTCACTGAGAGCTTTGGCCATCTTCCAGCCACCTTCCAGCCTAGAGGATGCATCTCTGTCGGGGACACAGACAGCCAAACTTGCTTCCATGTTCTCCCCAGCTTTCCACTGTAATCTGCACTTCACATCAATGCTAGTCACTCAGCGGTGGCCACGACATCCTCCAAATTGGATGGCAGGGCCGCTGGTGGAGTTCACGCAGAGATCTTTTTTCATCTTTTATTTTTAAATATATAAATGTACGTATTTAGTTTTGGCTGCGTTGGGTCTTCGTTGCTGTGCACGGGCTTTCTCTAGTTGCGGCGAGTGGGGCCTACTCTTCGTTGCGGTGCACGGGCTTCTCATTGCAGTGGCTTCTCTTGTTGCGGAGCACGGGTTCTATGCGTGCGGGCTTCAGTAGTTGTGGCACATGGGCTCAGTAGTCGTAGTGTACAGGCTTAGTTGCTCCGCGGCATGTGGGATCTTCCCGGACCAGGGCTCGAGCCCGTGTCCCCTGCATTGGCAGGTGGATTTTTAACCACTGCACCACCAGGGAAGTCCTCTTCATCTTTTTTAAAAGACAACTTTATTTAGATACATTTCATATAGCATACAATTCTCTCTTTTAAGTGTGTACTTCAGTGGTTTTTAGCATATTTACGTAGTTGTGCAACCATCATAACAGTGTAATTTTAGAACATTTTCATCACCCCCAAAAGAGATTCTGTGCCCATTAGCAGTCACTTTCCATTCTCCCCTGCCCCACGCCCCAGGCAACCACTCTCTACTTTCCGTCTTCATAGATGTGCCTGCTCTGGCCATTTCATTTAAATGGAATCATACAACATGTGGTCTTCTGTGACTGGCTTCTTTCACTTAGCATCATGTTTTTAAAGTTCATCCATGTTGTATAGTAAGTCAGAACTTAATTTTTTTTAATTGCTGAATAATGTTCCATTATATGGATATACCACATGTTATTCATCTGTTCATCAGTTGATGGACATTTGGTTTGTTTCCACTTTTCAGCTAATACGAATAATGATGCTGTGAATATTTGTGTACAAATTTTTGTGTGGACTTACCTTTTCATTTGTCTTGAGTATTTATACCTAGGAGTAGAATTGCTGGGTCATATGGTAACTCTATGTTTAACAGTTTGGGGACCTGCCAAACTGTTTTCCTCAGTGGCTAAAGCATTTTACAATCCTGCCAGTAAAGCATGAGGGTTCCAAATTTTCCTCCTCTTTACCAACACTTGTTATTTGATTTTTAAGGTTTTTATCATAGCCATCTTAGTGGGTGTGAAGTGGTATCTCATTGTAGTTTTGATCTTTATTTCCTTAATGAATAGTGATGTTGAGCATCTTTTCATGTGCTTATTGGCCATGTGTATAACTTCTTTGGAGAAATGTCTTCTCAGGTTTTTGCCCATTTTTAATTGGATTATTTATCTTTTTATTTTTAAGTTATGAGTTCTTTATATACTCTGGATACAAGCCCCTTGTCAGATGTATGATTTGCCAATATTTTCTCCCATTCTGTGCATTGTCTTTTCACTTTCTTGATGGTGCTATTTGCAGCACAATATTTTTAAGTTTGATCAAGTCCTATTTATCGAATTTTTTTCTTTTGTCACTTGTGCTTTTGCTGTCATACCTAAGAAACCATTGCCCAGTGGCATAGGGAGGGTGGGAGGGAGACGCAAGAGGGAGGGGATATGGGGTTATATGTATACATATAGCTGATTCACTTTGTCATACAGCAGAAACTAACACAGCATTGTAAAGCAATTATACTCCAATAAAGATATTAAAAAAAATTTACCTTAGAAACCACTGCCCAAATCAAGTTCATGAAGATTTGTTCCTGTGTTCGCATCTAAAAGCTTTATAGTTTTAGCTCTTACATTGAGCCCTGTGGTCTATTTTAAATTCATTTTTGTGTATTATATAATGAAGGGGTCCAGCTTCATTCTTTGCATATGGGTTTCCAGTTGTCCCAGCAGCATTTGTTGAAAGGAGATATTTTCTTTTATCTGCCTGTTCAGTCACTGCCCCTCACCATGATACTCTTTCAGTAGTTAGGTGACCACATGGGGTCAGGCTGAGAGAGGCTAGCACCCACCAGCAGCACAAATAGTGCTGTAAATGGCAGGGAACTTTATTAGATTTACTTCCGGTCCCAGACCAGTTTATTTTGGAGTGATAAGGAGCAACTTAGCATTCATAATTTTTTAAAACCTGGAGAGAGGACAGCCAGACACATGATGGTAGCCTGTATGGCCCTTTCTCAGCTAGGGTTCTGGGAGAGAATTAAGCTCTGATGCCCTTAGACATCCATTGTATGTAGTAAGTTAATCTCTCTCCAGTGCATTTAGAGTGGTCGTTACTATATACCGTCTTTGGGAAAACCGAGAAAAGAGTCATAAATCAAGTTGCAAAATGGTCTTCAGACTTTGGGGAAATTAACGTTAGAACTGATCTATTAATAAGAAACAAATTCTGCTTCAGATATCATCACTGTCTGCTCCATTTAGGGGAGAGGAACTAATAAAATATTCTCTCCAAGTGTGCGCTCCTGAGTCCAGGTTACAAGTAATAAACAGCTCTCCGATTGTATCATCATTAATGAGCTACCCATAAGGACAGAAGTGGGTTTTTCTTAGAAATAATTTAGCTTGATTTTTTCCCCCATATCTAATGTATCTGCTAAGGATCGATTTTGGGAAAATAGAGTTGTTTGAACAGTTTAGAACTAGAGAATGTTGTGTGGCAGTACTGTGACTGAACCTGTGCCAGCCTCTGTGGCCTTTGCTCTTCTTTGGAACCCCAGGAATTGTCCTGGGCCGCCCCAGGGCATTCCAAGGAGCTTGTGTGGCAGTGTCTGCTTGTCTGTATGACGTTCTCAGTGTGGCTGGGATTCTGTTTCCCTTCCCTCCTCATGTTTGGCAACACTGGAATATCTTTGGGGTTGATGATTGACATCTCTAATGAAAACCTACCATTTCCAAGAAGAGAAAAGGCAGTATAAACTCACTTCTTAAAAGCTGTACTCAGAATTCCGTGGGAGAAATCAGGGCCCAGGGTGAAGGCTAAGAAGATTTTTCTCATCTAGAGACCCCAGTTTATATTCCTTCAAACATTGGTTCAGCTGCTTGAACATAAACCAGGTAACAGTCACTCACATAACATAGAAATTAACTACTTTCTTATGTAAAAGTCTGACTTGGTGAGTGGTCCAGAAGAATACCTGCCCAGAACCCAGGTACCTTCTGTCGTCTTGTTTTAGATCCCTGTGAGGGTTGCCTTTATCCATAGGGTCGGAGGTGGCTCACCTTTAACATGTTCGTGTTCCAGGTCCCAGGAAGGGGGAAGGAGCAAATGGAGAGAAAACAGATTACTTTTAAGGGCATGACTCAGAAGTGGCATACATCACTTCTCTCGCATCCATTTCACCCAGACTTAGTCATGTGGCCTCATCTACTTGCCAGGGAGACATGGAGATGCAACTAGTTTCTAGTTGCATGGCCCTGTGCCTAGCTCAACCTGAGGAGATGCTACTGAAAACAGGAAGGCGTGAGAATAGGATTGGAGGACAGTCTGCCACAGAACCTTCAGTGGATGAGCCTCACAGTACGCAGTTCGAAACTGAGAGGTCGCCTGACGTACAACAGCAGCAGGCGAAATAAACACCTTGCTGTTATTCCCTTATCTTCCTCCTTGGAAACCAGGCCACTTAGAGCCCACCTTGGAACAGTGAGTAACGAAGTTAGGAGAACCTGGAGAGACAAACTCTAGAAGCAAGTCTTAAGAGGTGAGGCAAGTTAGACACCTTTACTGAACCCTTGAGAGGTTTTTGGGGCCGGATCCTGTCTTTGCGTTACTTAGGGCTCATTTGGTTGTAAAACATAAAGAGCAACTTGAGCTAGCAAAACCCTGTTCATTATTGTAAGAGTACAGGGGTGACTCATGGAAACCAGGGGCACGGATGGATTGGGAGAGAGGACTGTATACTTGTTGGCTCTCCTCCTGATTCTTCTCTGTTTTCTGTCGTTTTTATCTGTGATGACTTCTCAACCACCTTCAGCTCCAGATGTTACATTCTCACTGTGCAGGGCCCAGGCTAAACCAAACTCTTAACCAGGACCCATACATCCCTGGGAGAGAGAATCTGGTCAGCTTACCACAGGCCAGCATCCGTTCAAGTGTGAAAACAGAGCTGAGCGTTTCTTAAGACAAATAGAACGGTCTGCCTGGGGCCCATCCCTGTGGAGGGAGGGGGAAGGGGATGGAGACAGTTCCCAGAGGAGGGGAAACTGTTATAAGCTGGCACACTTAGCGTGGTATTTGTTTAAGTAGGGGCATCCAGTTCTGATCAACATGTATTTTCATAAAACTTTTGGGCTTCCCTGGTGGTGCAGTGGTTAAGAATCCGCCTGCCAATGCAGGGGATACAGGTTCAAGACCTGGTCTGGGAAGATCCCACATGCCTCAGAGCAACTAAGCCCGTGTGCTGCAACTACTGAGCCTGCACTATAGAGCCCGCGAGCCACAACTGCTGAGCCCACGTGCCACAACTACTGAAGCCCGAGCTCCTAGAGCCCGTGCTCTGCAACAAGAGAAGCCACCGCAGTGAGAAACCCACACGCCACAACGAAGAGTAGCCCCTGCTCGCCGCAACTAGAGGAAGCCCACGTGCAGCAATGAAGACCCAATGCAGCCAAAAAAAAGTATAAATAAATTTATTTAAAAAACCAACTCTTTTTGTTTTGTAATAATTATAGATTCATAGGAAATTCAAAAATAGTACAAAGAAGTCCTGTGTATCTTTCACCTAGTTTCTCTCAATGATTGCATTTAACCTAACTATAATATAATATCAAAACTAGGAAATTGACGTTGGGCCAGTGTATATGTATAGTTCTTTGCCATTTTATCACATGTGTGTGTCTTGTAACCACCACTGTAATCAAGGTACAGGAGTCACCCTTACCCCATCTTCTTCTTTACTCCTTACCCGTGGTAACCATTGATCAGTTTCCCATCTCTATAACTTTGTCATTTTCTGAATGTTATATTCATAGAATCACAGCATGTGACCTTCTGAGTTTGGCTTGTTTTCACTCGGCATAATGCCCTTGATATCTGTCCAAGTTGTTGTATAAATCAATACTGCTAAGCAGTATTCTGTGCTATGGGTGTACCACAGTTTGTTTAGCCATTCACCTATTGAGAGACATTTTGTTTGTGTGTAGTTGTCGAGTACTGCAGATAAAGCTGCTGTGAGCATCTGTGTACGGGTTCTTGTGTATACGTAAGTTTTCATTTCTCTGGGCTAAATGGCGAAGAGTGTGAGTGTTGGGTTGTGTGCTAAGTGTATATTTAGTTTTTAAAGAAACTGCCAAGTTTTCCAAAATGGCTGTACCATTTTATCTTCCCACCAGCACTGTATGAGGTTCAGTGTCTCCACATCCTCACCAGCATTTGGTATTGTCACTGTTTTTTAAATTTAGCTGTTCTAATACATGTGTAGTGGTATCCTACTGTGGTATTAATTTGCATTTCCCTAATGGCTAGAACATCTTTTCATGTGTGTATTTGCCATCATGTGTCCTGTTTGGTGACATGTCTCTTCATCTCCTTTGCCCATTTTCTAATTGAATTGTTTTTTAATGTTGTTTTGAGAGTTCTTTATGTATTCTAAATACAAATCAATGTGGTTTGCAATGTTTTCTCTCAGTCTGTGGCTTGTTTTTTCATCCTCTTAAAAGAGTCTTTTTCAGAGCAAAAGTTTAAAAATTTTAAGGAAGTCCAACTTACTTATTTCTTTTCTTTTTATGGATTGTGCTTTTCTTGTCACCTCTAAAATCTCTTCACTAAGCTCTAGGTCCTGAAGATTTTTTCTCGTACGTGTTCTTCTAAAAGTTTTATAATTTTACACTTTACATTTAAGTTGGTGATCCATTTTGTGTTAATTTTTATATAAGGTGTGAGATTTGGGTCAAGGTTCATTTTTTGGCCTATGGATATTGAATTGCTTCAGCACTTTTGTTGAAAAGGCTGTTCTTTCTCCATTGACTTGCTTTTGCATGTCTGTCAAAAATAAGTTTGTTGTACTAGTGTGAGTCTGTTTCTGGGTTCTTTATTCCGTTCCATTGATCTATGTGTCTTTCCCTCTGCCAATACCACACAAGATAGTAATGAAGATTAGTATCTTCATTACTTCACCACTTGATAACTATAGCTATATGTCTTCTGTTTTTCCCACTTACAATTATTTTTCAAAATTGTTTAACTATTCTGATTCCTTTGACTTTCCATTTGATTTTAGAATAATTTTTTCTTGAGCTACAAAAATCCTACTGGGATTTCTATAGGAGTTATGTTAAACCTTTATGTCAATCTGGGGATAGTTGACATCTTTTACTATGTTGAGTTTTCCAATCCGTGAACATTTCTCTATTTATGTAGATCCTATTTTATTTTTTTCATCAGTGTTTTATAGTTGTCAGCATGTAAATTACGTATATGTTGTGATATATCTAAGAAAATCAGCTTGAGTCTTTATAAATGAAGTTGTATTTTTGATTTTGATTTTCAGGTGTTCATTGTTAGTATATCAAAATACTATTGATTTTTGTAGATTAATCTATCTTGCAAATTCACTTCTGTCCTTACTGAAATCACTTGTTAGTTCTAGGAGTTTTTTTATAGATTCCTTGGAATTTTCTACATGGACGGTCATGTCATCTGCAGATAGGGACAGTTTCGTTTCTTTCTTTTCAATATTTGTACGTTTTGTTTCCTTTTCTTATGTAATTGGGCTGGCTAGGACTTCCAGCACTATGTTGAAAATAGTGATGAGAGTAGAAATTTTTGCCGTGTTCCTAAGCTTAGGGGGAACCATTCAGTTTTTCATTAAGTATGATGTTAGCTATAGTTTTTTTGGTAGAGGTTCTTTATCAAGTTGAGGAAGTTTAGCTCTATTAATAGCTTTCTGAGAGTTTTTATTATAAATTGGTGTTGCGTTTTATCAGGTGCTTTTTCTACATTAGTTGATATGATCATTTGGTTTTTTCTTTCACCTGTTAAGATGGTGAATTATATTGATTGTTTTTTGAATATTGAATCAGTCATGTATCCCTGGAATAAACTCCTCTTGGTCATGATATATAATTCTTTTTTATATTGCTGAATTCTATTTGCTAATATTTTATTAAAGATTTTACATCTGTATTCAGGAGGGATATTGTGTCTAATTTTCTGTCTTTTTAGGTTGCCCCTTTCCAAGTCCTTTGGCTAGAGAGAGCAGAATTTTGGGGAGGCTTTATATTATCTGCTCTTATTGGCATTGATGGGATGTGTGAAGTGAAAAAAGAAAACCCAGGGAATTCATGGCTATCCTTTCCCTGGGTACTGAGTTCCCTAGCTGGTTTGCCTTCTTCACTCCACTTCACTTCACTTTGCAGAGTCATTTTATATTATTCTGTATATTACGTCCAGGGTTTTAACTGTATTTAGTGGAAGGAATAGAGAGAAGTGTGCCTACTCCGTCTCATCCTGAAACCAGAAATCCAATCTATATCTTGTAAAAAAATAGATTTTGAAGCCTCTTCCCTGCCTATTTATGGGTAAAAAAAATTAATCTTTCAACTTGTTGCGGGGGGAGCATGCCTTCTACAGGTGAGCAGAGTGGCTAGCATAGTGTGTTTTCTTAGTGAACAGTCACCAGATCTCTTTAGTGGTCACAGTGCATTCTAGTTCAGTCGCTCTGGCCTAGAACCCTTCTCCCAGTGATTACAAATACGTTTGTTTTTCTAGGGGAACTTAGATTGCCCTTTTGCTCTGAGGATTCATTATTTTTAGCTGTGGGATATAAGGATATAGGTTCTACAACCACATTGACAGTTTTGAGGGGGAAAGAGGGTGCTAAGAAAAATTAGGGCCAGACAGGCAGTGTAAGCAGAGACGGTAATGGGCCGGGTGGGATGTGTGGTCCCCTTAGTTATACCTGTTCTGTGAATTTACTCTTGACTTAATTTGGGAAGACTGGTATTAAAACATTTTTGTGTTTTTCTCAAGTGCCACAGAATGTATGTTGGTGTATGCACATGCACACAGGCACTCACACACATACACACTCAGGCATTCATGCCAAATAATAAAGAAATAAAAGAGAGGTATGTAGGCTGGCTAAGTTAATGTAGGATTTTTTGCTAAAGGGAATATTCTTCTATTCTTTTCCTTCACACTTGTCCATGGGGCCACTTGCAGTTCTTTTAAACACCATTAATGATTGCACAAAAAGGGCATTTCAGTTAATGTCGTTTGTCAGGAAGAAATAGTTATTAAAATGTCTTTGGATAAATGGAACGAAGAGTGTTTGAAAAGGCCCAATTCACAGCTTTTCTTCAAGTTATAAAATGGACATTATTTCAGGTGTAAATAATTCATCCCAACAAATTTGTTTCCTTTGGTGTGTGCCTCCCTGCCTGCCTGTGTGAATATCTGATTTTATTTTTGGAGCCCTGTGACATTAGCCCCTTGTTAGTTTAGCACTGTGAATCGGAGAGTTCTGACCCACAAGGATCCAGACCTCTAAGCTCTATTTCAGTGAACTGTTTGTACTTTTTTGTAGACAGTCTTCCAAACAGAAGAAGGCTATTCAAACTGCTATCCGCAAAAATAAAGAGGCAAATGCAGTGCTGGCCCGGTTGAACAGTGAACTCCAGCAGCAGCTCAAGGTAAGGAGCTTCCTGAATTTGGATTACCAGGCTTTGTGTCTGTCTGTTGTGTTTTGTTTTGACAAACATTGGTTGAGCATCTGGTTCCATTCCTGTTGGTAAGACTTGCTCTTTGTTCTCAAACTCCTTTTGGAAGGCAGAGTTGCTGTATTTAAGTTTCATGGGTTGGTTCTTGTATGCTTAGAGGAAGACTCGTACCTTTAATATGCAAGCTACATATTGTGTGCTAGTTAAAAATACAGAGAAGCTATTACAAAGGCTCTTTGAAGCATTCTTTATTGTCCAAGCCTTCTGGGTAAACCCCTCATTTGTTTAGATCCTCCATGAATGATGCTATACTTATTCCAATGGAAGAGGGTGGCCCTGATCCTCTCGAAGGCTAACTCCTGCCCTGGTATCTTGGAAATGGTTCCATATCAGCTTCTCAAGGACATTACCCCATCCTCATCGTCTGTTTCTCTTCACCATTAATCTCCCCTGTATTAGTTTCCCAGGGCTGTCCTAACAAAGCGCTACAAAATTGGTGGCTTAAAATAGTAGCAACTTATTCTCTCCCAGCTCTGGAGGCTAGAAGTCTGAATCACGGTGTCAGCAGAGCTATGCTATCTCTGAAGGCTCTAGGGGGGAATTCTTCCTTTCTTCTTCTGGTTTCTGGTGGTGGCTGGCAGTCCTTGGCTGGTAGATGCATCACTCCAGTTTCTGCCTCTGCTGTCACATGGCGTTTTCTCTGTGTCTTTCTGTGTCTGTGTCGGAATTCCTCTTTTTATTGTGCCCTCTTTTTATAAGGATACCAGTCATTCGGTTAGGGCTCACCCTAATCTAGCCCAGTCTCATTTCTAACTAGATTATATCCACAAAGACCCTATTTCCATAGAAGGTCACATTTACAGGTACGGGGGGTTGGGAGTTAAACATATATTTTTGGGGCACCCACGACACCCCCTGGATTCTATGCTGGCTCATTGCTGCCCACACATAAACGTGCTCTGGTGTTGTCCAGTGTAGTGACGCCACATCCTCCTTCAGCTGCTGCCCCGTCTCTCTGGTCTCCTTTTCACAGCCAAGTTTCTTAAGAGTTGTTTTCATTTATTGTCTCTCATTCCTCACCAACAGTTTTCTCTCCCTCCACTTCGTTGTGGCTTTCATTCTCCTCCGCTTACACCCCTCTTACAGCCAAATGCAGTGGGCCTGTTTTAACATTATTTGGATTTTCAGAAAAATCTATGCCATTGACCGTTGACCATTCTTTCCTCTGCAATGTCCTTTCTAACTGGTTTTGGGGATATCATACTTTCCTTGTTGTCCTTCTACTTCGCTGGTGATTCCTCTTTAGCAATCTCTGCTGTCCCTTCCTTTTTTATTTTCTCTTTCGTTACTACCCTGCTTCGCCCTAATTGTTTTTTTTTTTTTTTTTTGGCTGCGCCATGTGGCTTGTGGGATCTCAGTTCCCAGATCAGGGATTGAACCCAGGCCATGACAGTCAAAGCCTGGAATCCTAACCACTAGGCCACCAGGGAGCTCCCCCTAATATTTTATTATGAACATTTTCAAGCATACAAGAAAGTTGAAAGAATCATACAGTGAATATTTTCATAGCCACCACTTCAGTTCTACCATTCACATCTCGTTATACTTGTCTTATCACGTTTTTCTATCCCTCTTATCTGTCCTTCAGTCCATCTTATTTTTAACATGTTTTCAAGTAAATTGCAGACATCTGTATGCGTCCCCTAAATATTTTAACATGCATATCATTAACTACAGTTCAATATTTTTACAAGTTTTTCTCATGTTGTAAATTTTACATACAATGAGTGTACAAATCTTAAGTGTACACTTGCTGACTTTTTAACAAATGCATCTACTTATGGATCTCAACCCCCTATCAAAGATGTAGCACATTACCACCTCCCCGGAAAGCTCCCTCATGCTCCTTCCCAGTTAATTTCTGCCCCACTCACATAGAGGTAACCACTATTCTAAACTTCTTAGGCCATACTGTTGCCTATTCTGTAACTTTATGTAAATGGTGTCCTCTGACATGTACTTTTATGGAAAGCTTCTTTCACTTAGTATTATGTTTTTGAGATTCATTTTCATTGTTGTATGTCTCAGTAATCTGTTCCTTTTTATTGCTGAGTGGTATTCTATTGAGTGAATATGCTGCAATTTGGTTATCAATTTCCTATTAGTGGACACCTATTTTTGCTATTTTGAATAAAACTACATTCTTGGATAAGTCTTTGTGTGGGAATATGTTCTCATTTCTCTTGGGTAAATTTCTAGGATTAGGATTAGTAGGTAATATGGTGATTGTGTGTAATTAGTTTTAATAGAAACTGCTAGAGCTTTTCCCAAAGTGGTTGTAGCATTTAGTACTCCCACCACTACTGTGTGAGAGTTCTGGTTGTTCCTCATCCTCGCCAACACTTGGTGTTATTGTTTTAATTTTTAGCAAGTCCTGTGGTGAGATAGTTTTTATTTTACATCTCCTTAGCACTTTGCTATGTGATTATTTACTTTGCATATATTTTATTTTATGAAGTGTCTTTTCCAAATATTTGGCCATTTAAAAATCATTTTCAGTTGTTTTTTTGGAGTTGTAGGTAGATGCTTTTTATATATCTTGGTTACCAGTCCTTTGTCAAGGTATATATTTTATGAATGTTTTCTTCTAGTCTTTGTTTTGCCTATTAATTTTTTTAACTGAATCTTTTCATGAACAGAACTTTTTAATTTTGATAAAGTCTGATTTATCATTTTTTCCTCTTATGGTTTATTAACTTTCTTCCTATATAGGGAAACTTTGCCTACATCTGAATTATGAAGATATTCTCCTATGTTTTCTTCTTTACTGTTACAACTTTTACATTTAGATCTATGATAACATTTGGTTTTTTTAAACTACTTTATTGAGATAAGATTGTACATACCTCAATAAATCTGTACATATTTAATGTATGCAACATGATGAGTTTGGAGATAATTATACATCCATGAGTCTGTCACAGTTTATGCCATAAAACTGCCCATCACCTCTAAAAATTCCCTCTCACCCTTATTATTAGTATTTATTTTTATTGAAGTATTGTTGCTATAGTTGCTGCACAATGTTATGTAAGTTATAGGTGTACAATATAGTGATTCATGATTTTTAAAGGTTATACTCCATTTATAGTCATTATAAAATATTGGCTATATTCCCTGTGTTGTACAGTATATCCTTGTAGCTTATTTTATACCTATTAATTTGTACCTCTTAATCTCCTACCCCTATAATGCCCCTTTTCCCTTTTCTCTCCCCACTGGTAACCATTAGTTTGTTCTTTATATCTGTGAGTCTGCTTCCTTTTTGTTATATTCACAAGTTTGTTGACTTTTTTTTAGATTCCACATATAAGTGAGATCATACAGTATTTGTCTTTCTCTGTCTGACTTATTTCACTTAGCATAATGCCCCAAGTCCATCCATGTTGCTGCACATGGCAAAATTTCATTCTGTTTTATCACTCACATAATTATCATTTCTTTTATGTGGTGAGAACATTTAAGATTTACTTTCTTAGAAATTTTTAAGTATGTAATACAGTATTGTTAACTATAGTCACCATGCTATACATTAGATCCCCAGAACTTATTCATCTTATGATTGGAAGTATGTACCCTTGCCCAACATCTCCCCATTTCTTGCACGACCCTCCCCTCAGTCTCTGGCAACCACCATTCTACTTTGTTTCTATGAATTTGGCCTTTTTTAGATTGCACATATAAGTGATATCACATGGTATTTGCCTTTCTCTGTGTGACTTATTTCACTTAGCATAGTGCCCACAAGGTCCATCCATGTCACAAATGGCAGAATTTCCTTCTTTCTTACAGCTGAATAATACCCTATTGTATGTATGTACCACATCTTCTTTATCCATTCGTCTGTAGGTGGAAACTTAAGTTGTTTCCATATCTTAGCTATTGTATCAATGCATAATGCTGCAGTGAACATGGGAGTGCACATATCCCTTTGAGGTCCTGATTTCATTTCCTTTGGATACGCAGAAGTGGGATTGGTAGATTATATGATGGTTCTTTTTTTTTAAATTTTGAGAAACGTCCATACTATTTTCTGTAGTTGCTGGATCAATTTACATTCCGACCAACATTGCACAAGCATTCCCTTTTCTCCACATCCTTGCCAACACTTATCTCTTATCTTTTTGATGATAGCTATTCTAACAGGTGTGAGGTGATATCTCATTGTGGTTTTGACTTGCATTTCCCTGATGATTAGTGATGTTGAGCACATTTTCATGTAGCTGTTGGCCATTTGTTTTAGAATATTGTGTTTCCGTTTTTATTTGTTTCAAGATATTTCTTTGATTCCCCTTTTGACTTCTTCTTTGACTCATTGGTTGTTCAGGAGTGTTTTGTTTAATTTCCACATATTTCTGAATTGTCTAGTTTTCTTCCTGTTACTGATTTCTAGTTTAATAACTTTGCAGTTGCAAAAGGTACTTGGTATGATTTTGATATTCTTAAGTCTGCTAAGACTTATCTCGTAACCTATCATATGATATATCCTTGAGAGTATTTTATGTGCGCTTGAGAAGAATATGTATTCTGCTTCTGTTGGCCAGAATGTTCTGTATATGTCTGTTAGCTCCATTTGGTATAAAGTATAGTTCAAGTCCAACATTTCCTTGTTGATTTTCTGTCTGGATGATATACCCACTGTTGAAAGTAAGGTATTGAAGTCCCCTACTATTATTGTATTGTTGTCTATTTCTTCCTTCAGATCTTTTAGTATTTGCTTGATATATTTAGGTGCTCTGATGTTGCCTGCATGTATATTTACAATTGTTATATTTTCTTTATGAATTAATCCCTTTAACATTACATAATGACATTCTTTGTCTCTTGTTATAGTTTTTGGCCAAAAGTCTATTTTGTCTGGTAAAAGAATAGCTACCCTGTTCTCTTTTGGTATCTACTTGCATGGAGTATCT